ACCCGAGTTCCCGCGCCGCTCGGGGCCGAGCCCCCGCCGCAGCTAGACTGCGCCCTCCGCCGGGGCTGGCTCGCAGTTGCTGCCGGCCGCCGCCACCGAGAGAAGTTGGGGGGGCGTCCCACCGGACACTAGGACCCCGGGCTCGGGGGTCACCGTGATCCCGCGGAAGCCTGCTCCCGGCGAGCCACCTCCTCAGGGGCTCCGCATCGGTGAGTGGCGCTCGTCCCCGGAGTTGGGGGGCAGCGGAGTCGTGCCTTTGGGGTGACTGTACTCCCTCTGTCCCATGTTCCGAGCTCGGGCTGTGGGCACTCCCGGGCACCCCGCGCCGCGAGTTCCTGTCCCCGCTCCTTTGTCCCATCGGGAAGGGAGATTGGCAAGGCTGGCGGGGGTGGCGTGGTTTTGGGGCCCACGGTAGGTGCGTCTGCAGCGGTACAAAGCCCAGCAGGCACCTGCGATGGGGGCGGGGGCGGCTCTGCGTTCTGGGTCCCGAGTGTCTGCCCCTCCCGAAGTTTGACAGGGCGATGGCGGGGCTCGCCGGAAGCCCCCCGCGAGCGGGGGAAGACCTGGCGCTTTGTCGCTCGGGGCGGCTTAAGACAAGGCTTGGGGGTTTTCCTGTGACAGCCCCTGAAGAGGCTGTGCCGCTCTCTCTGCAGACCGCACCCGCCTTTGCAGAGCGTGTCGCGGTGTTCTCTCAACCTCACCTCCGGTGGCCCTCTTGCCACAGAGGAGAAAAGGCGGGGTCTTCGTTGCACTTATTTTTCTTGCCGTTTTGTTTGCTGCTGCGTTGTGGAAAGTGCGATCAGGTGCCAGGGAGTTTGATAGGGAGCATGCTTCTGGTTCATTGAGCAACCCACTCAAGACCGGCGGATGCGAAGCAACAGTAGATGCAGATTTTCCATTCACTAAAGTCATCTAACACTTCTTTATGGACGACATCTGCGTTGTGAAACATAACCTAATTTCATTTTAACTAAATGCCGCCTGAAGTAAGTAACTTAGGTTACTCTCTAAACAGATGGGGGGAGTTATCTGATGATATGAGCAGATCTGCTTTAAGTAACTTAATTAAGTTTTTGCCTTTTTGCTGCTGGAAGACTTAAGTAACATTTAGTAGTGTTAGAATGTCTTGGATGTAGCAAAGCTTTTTTTGTTTGTTTGTTTTTTTAAAGTAATTAGCCCCAATTTAGTGCAACTTCAAGGGTTTTTTTTTGTTTTTTTTTTGTTTTTTTGTTTTAGATAACTATTTAAAACAGTTTCTGCCACTTGAAGGATTCCAAAGAGCAAGCGAGGAACAGGTAAATTGCTTGTTATGTTTTCTTAGGGTTTCATCTAAATTTTATCATGCAGAGAGACTGGGATCAGTTGCTACGCTTGCTAGAACCTGCTTTACAGTGAGATTCTTAAGATGTTAGATTTATAGAACAGGTTGGCTAAGGAAGGAAAAGGCCATGCAATTTAAAATGAACTCTACTAAAAACACAACCAATTTCAAATATGTTACTCTTTCTTTTGGTAGCAAGTCTGCAGAATGACTACAGTATGCTTGTTCAAAGTGCCAGTACAGGGAATAGATGAAACTTAAGACCTACGTAAAGGTCTTTAATTATGGAGATTGAGTTGTTGCGGTCAAATTCCGTTTGAACAGTTTGGGCCACAAAGATCAACACAGGTGCCTAGAAATGACTATCTAATTAAAACTGGGCATGGTTTACTCCTTTCATTGAGTTGTGGTCATTACTGAATGTCTCATCTGTGCAAATGTCTTTTCACTTCAATTTTGTTGTTTGTTTGCTTTTGTTTTCTGAGACAGGGTTCTGCTGTGTTGCCTAGCTGGCCATGGTATTCGTTATACCAAGGCTAAGGCTGCCTTGGAACTTGGCAAAATCCTCCTGTCTCAACCTTCTGTCTGCCATGTGTACTCCACTGCCTGACTTTTGTTGTATTTTTGAAGCAAGTGAATGTTTCTTAACATATTCATAGGGCTTAGATATTTGGTAAAATATCTACATTTTTAATATCGTTTTTATAAAAATATAAAAGTTTATATATATTTAGAAAAAATCAAAATTTTCTGAATTCTTCTTTGAATTGACAGTTAAAAATATATACTTTGGAGAGAGTTATGCAGTCCTTTGAGATTAAGTTCTCTTCGGACTGCTTTTTAAAAAATTGAGACAATTGTAAATTTATAAAATGTGCCATTACACAAAGATCTTTGTTGCAAGATGTTAACTAAACATTGAATGGGCATAGTACATTTTAACTTGGTTTGGGCAATTGCTAATTGATCAGCAATTGATAATTTAGACAAAGAATTTATAGATGTTTTGCATTATTATTTTTGAAAACTTTTGCTCTTACAACAATACTTGAAGTGTTATATTTTGATATTTGTATTATATCCAAAGTTGAAAACATGAATAACAATAATCTTGGAATGCCAGGTAATCAAAAGTGAGGATAAGATCATACCTTATTCTTATAACTATGACCTACAAATGAGACATAAGTACAACTTTGGGCTACTGACATGCTGGGTGTGGTGTTTGCTGGTGATCTGCACTTGGGAGATAGAGGAGGGAGGGACACCTAGATTTGCAGCTAGCCTTGAGATCCTGTCCAAAAAAAAAAACTACCAAACAAAAACCCCACAAACCTCTGAGAAACTTTTAATGTAGGTGGCTGCATGCAAGGAGATCATCAGAAATACTTAATTCAAGCAATTGTGGTTGAAGTAGTTTTCTTGTGGACGGAACCATGGGTAAATACACAGACTAATGTGTGTAGATCTAGTGTCAGTATATAATAACCACATCAGAGATGTTAGATTTATTCTTCTGCCTTAGTCTATACTACAGACCCTCACAAAAAGTATGAAATCAAATTTGAATCTAGAAGATATGGGGATTTTTCTTCCCAAAATATGTTGAGTTATACACCTCAAAGGGAAGAAGTCTTAATCTGGAACTCCATACTCCCAGGCTTTACCCTAAATAAATTTACCTTTGTTATCTTTCTACGCGATGCAAACGCTCCACAATAGCAATAATCCATTTTGTTATTCACCAGCAGTGAAAACCCTCCAAAATAGCAACAACCCACATTGTTTATCAGTTATTGTATGAATAAAAACGTAATCCCAGATACTTGGCTGGAGAACAATTGGACTGTGTGATAGTGTCATTCAAAGTCGGTACAAGTAGTGAGATGATAAAGGGAACAAGTCATTTAACCTGGGAACTGCTTGGAGAAGGGCATTTTTATGTTACACTTTGGAGTAGGTTGTATATCTGAAGGTAACCTGGTATCTTAAGAGGATGGTACAGAATGGACCAAAACCGAACCTGGTGGTGCAGGCCTGTAATTCCAGCTGCTTGGGCGTCTGAGACATGAAGATCACACGGTCAAAGCCCATTTGCTTTGCAGAATGAGTTCGCGATCAGCTTGAGCACGCTGACATGGTGACTTAGCTGGTGAAAGCATTTGTTAACAGACCTGATAGCCTGAGTTCTGAGTTTGGGCTCTGCTGACTGCCAACTTTGCCAGCTTCCTTAAGTTGTCCTCTGGTTGTCACGCACACGCACTCACACATACACTCACTCAACACACACGCACACACGCACATACGCTCCTCCGTGACACAAGCACTATCCATCTCAATAAATTAATAAATAAATGCAAAACAAGAGGCTGGCTTAGCAATTTAGTTAAAAGTAGAGAGAACCAGGCAGTGGTGACACATGCTTTAGTCTCAGCATTTGAGGCAGAGGCAGGCAGATCTCTGAGTTTGAGGCCAGCCTGGTCACAGAGTGAGTTACAGGCCATCCAGGGCTATACAGAGAAACCTGTTTCAAAAAAGCACCCCTCCCCCACATAGTTTTGGGAATGGGTGGTCGATTAGTCAAACAAAAGAAAATAAAATTCTTTGTAGTCAGACTTGACATTGAATTCCTGATCTGGTGGTCCTTTTACAGGAGTTCCCCCACCATTCCCCACAGGTAGTTTCCTTTGAGTGAAAATGTTTTCTGAAAGAAGTGAATCTTAATTGTGTTACTGTCTCTTGTCATAGATCACAAGGAATGCTAGATTACTCAGAATTGTAAAACTTTAACTAAGGGATATGAGTGGCAGAAAATCTGGCCCTGTAAAATTTTTAGAAATGTGTATTGTTTAATCATGTGTATATGTGTGTCAGTGTGCATATGAGTGCAGATGCCCATGGAGACCAGAAGAGGGTATCCATCCCCTGGACCTGGAGTTTATAGGCTATGCTGAGTCACTTGATATGGGTGCTGCCAACCAAATTTGGGTCCTCTGGAAGAACAGCAAGTACTATTAATTGCTGAGCCATCCCTCCAACCCCTAGACTTTGTCTTAAAAGAAATTATCTTTATCACCACACTTTTCTGTTCATTGTTTTGGAAAACAAAAGCCAAGGAGTTTTCAAGTTACTGTAACAGTCTTTTTGAACAGTTCTCTAGTGGTATGGGTGAGTCTTAAACCATGAAGATGTTTCCTCTCTGTTTTATTCTAGAATTCAGTGGTTTTTCAGTTAATAGGCTTCTAAAACATTTTTCTTTGTATGTTCTTGTATGTATGAGCATATTTGTATGTACTCATGCATGCATGTGTAGCATGAATAATAAAAACCCAGAGAAAGATATTGGTGTTCAACCTGAAGATCAGAAAAGGAAAGCAGTCAAGCCACTAGAGAGCTCTTACTGCTACAAAATCTTTGTACTGAAAGAGAGCGATTTCCGGTCTCATCCCGCCTTATATTCCTCTCTAGTTCTAGGATTAAAGGTGTGCACCATCACTGCCCAGCCCCTGTGGCTAACTAGTTTGGTTGCAGGAATTAAAGGTGTGTGCCACCACTGCCTGGCCTGTATAGCTGACTTTGTGTTCTGATCTTCAGGCAAGCTTTATTTATTAAAATACAAATGAAATACCACTACATTTCCCCTTTTTTGTCTAAAATAAAAAGGCTATAACTAATATAGTAATAACTATATGCAATAAGTACAATAACTATATACAATATATACAGACAATAAATACATCAATAATGTCTAGTCCATTTGCATTTGACAAATTCAGAAAAAATACTCCATATCTTTCCTTCTCTTGGTGAGTTCAAAGTCTTGTTATCTAACTCACTTTCTATTATAACTTACATTTTTTGTTTTTTTTTTTTTTGGTTTTTCAAGACAGGGTTTCTCTGTAACTTTGGAGCCTTTCTCGAACTAGCTCTTGTAGACCAGGCTGGCCTCAAACTCACAGAGATCTGCCTGCCTCTGCCTTCTGAGTGCTGGGATTAAAGGCGTGCACCACCACTGCCTGGCTCCATAACTTGCTTTCTGCGTCAGGTAGACAAGGAAGACTATTAACTACCTAGACTTCAGCTCCCTCAGAGACTCAAAAAGGAAATGATATTAACTGAGTAAGCATGAAGTGCAAGCAAATTATTTCCACAAAATGAGAAATGACAGAAACAGCTGACTGCCTGGAGAATCACCCAAAGTTCCTCTGTAACATTGGGGCATCCGTCCTTGGCCTACAAGCTTAGCATATTTGACAGACTTTTCTATGAAGCAAGGTCTGTCCTACTTTGTCTTGAGAATGTTTGGCAGTCACTTTCTTTTGTGTCCTGCTTGTGCAATTACGACAGCATACTGTCAGCAGTCCAGGCAAGGGCATTTTCTCGCCCAGTGCTTACTTTTACCACAAAGAAAGTAAACTTCATGTGGAGCTTCTTTGATGTCCATTGTCTTCTCTGAAGTAGATTGGTGCTGCCAGGAACCAAACATATCCCATTGTTAAAAAAAAAAAAAGTCTATGTACCGGGTGGTACACACCTGTAATCCCAGCACTTGGGAGGCAGAGGTAGGTGGATCTCTGTTAGTTCGAAGCCAACTTGGTCTATAAGAGCTAGTTCCAGGATAGGCTCCAAAGCTACAGAGAAACCCTTTGTCGGAGCGGGGGGAAAAAGAGTCTATGTTATTAAAACATCTTAAATGCCATATTCTGTAGATCTCTGAAGTGTTTGGAGATGAGCTATCTAAAATATATCTTTGTTTTTCCTTGAAAATATACCTAATGAGACTACAAGTTTAATTATAATAACTGATTAACTACTAATTTGCATTTTCTTTTTATCTTAAACAATTGGTAATAATAATTTTCAAGGACTGATTTAATTCTGTAGTGTTTCTACTATCCAATGTCTCTCCACAACTCTTGTTCCTCTCTCATTAGCATTTAGAAAATTCAAAGTTAATAGCAATGTATTTTGAAG